GTAATTGAGAAAACAACTTAAAATTTCCTTTTAGTACATAAAAGTTGTAAATTGATAATTTTCAGTTACAAGTTACTGCCGGCTTTTACATAGTTACTTTTTTTGTCTACCTTTGGAAATCAGATCAATACTGAAGTCTATATTGTCTGGGCTATGCACTCGACTACGGATGCCAATTCAACGTCGGCAAATTTGAGCCCATTCCATACTCTCAGGGGAAGATCAGCAAATAAGCAAAACCTGATCGCTATGGCCATGGCTGCAGCGATGACACCTACCACCACTACCATGATGATGCCATCCACATCTGTTGTTTCTACGCCTCAACCAACAGGTAATGACAGATGTCCATATTAATAATATAGTCCCGGATTCTAATTAACTTGATTACTTCCTGCAGTTACTGGCATTGGAACATCAATATAATGAAGGGCCAAGTGACGGGCAAAATTTGTTCGCTATAACAAGGTTTCGTTATATCGAGGTTGATTTTCATATATTTTACTATTACTGGGGTAAAGAAAATCGTTCGTTATATCGACGACTTCGTTACATAGAGATTTGTTATATCATGAGGTTCCACTGTACGTAATTTGTCAGAAAAAGCTATGAATGACCTAACGAAGAAGATTAATATCATTCTTCTAATAACTTTTCATCACTCGACAATTGACAACATGATAGCAAAAACTCGTGATCTTGTGTCCTTGACGTTGTCTCAGACAACGCTTGAAGGGAATAAATAACACATACTATTTTTGAATCCAAATATTTTTGAAATCCGCCAAGAAAAAATTTCCATTTCCCCACGTATCCGTATTCAAATCGAATTTGCCCGTTCCGCTACGTACCCGACACTCATCCGGATTCATTCTAGTACCCAGGACTGCTCTGGCAATATTGGCAACAAAGCTAAGCATGCGTCGTAAAGCACGTAAAATCTGCGTGTAGAATTATGGCAGAATCACCCCAGAAGAGCTTTGCAAAGAGCGAGCGAAGGTTCCTTCCTCGACGGGTACGAGAGAGAACCTGGCAACGAGGTTGCTATCTTGAATACAGTATTCACGGTAAAGAACTGGGCTTGATCTTGTTATGTCACCCGATAAAACAATATTAAATGCGGACTTAGCGTCTACCCGATTCCAGATTCATGGCATATTCAAAACTTTCCACTCTGAAGAGCAGATTCCAAAAGTTGCGGATTCGTATGCCTGATTCACCGGATACGTGTGGACGAAAGCTTTGTTTATGTACACTCTTTTTTAGCAAGAATGTTGTTTTTCCGATCCGGGCTAAATTAATATTCTAATTTTTCTGTCAATTTTAGGCTAAAAATATTCTGGAATTATTCTTAATTATAAATGGCGATAAATCCGCTTAAGGATGTATTGGGGTTTTAAATGCCGTTTTGTTAAGTGAAAAGCGTAAATTCTGCTGTATTATCAAATTCTCAGCCCTGGGTTTATTCTTAAACTAGTAATAACCAAAGGTTACGGTGTGCGGGCGACAACGATCGAAGGTCAAAACGCTTTTGGTCCAACGCTGTGTTTTGTGTAAGTTTCACGTCACAGATGGTCTAAAGACACGTGATCAGATTACGAGTGATCGAAGGTCCAAACGCGCGTGTTCAAATTGCATTCTGTGCATTCGCATTCTTTCATAGTGGAAGTCCGAACGAATGCTGGCTACATACATGCGACGCATACGCAAGAACAACCTGGAGATTAGGATTGAGGGCTCTTCTTGTCACCTGCGCATATTCTTAGAATTTCACAGATTTCAGCCTCGACATTCCTATAAAATATATTCTTAAAATGATTATGTATAATCTTACATAATCCGAGACCCCACGCGAGCAATTGACCGCCCTCATTACCACTGTAAATGTCAAAAAATTGTATGGGTAAACGGGATTTATTAAGTCACATATTTCAAATCGTTCAGCACCTCACATTTTCTTCCAGCTTTCGAACTCAGACCTACACCTCTGCACCTATTTTCTTCTTTTTTACAATTCGACAGCGCTATAGTGAATCTATAGCCAAATAATCCCCTGCGGCTTAATCCGCTTATTCGTTCAGGGAATTCTCGGGATCCGAAGCGAGGGTTGTTTCGATGGCGTTTCTCAAGAGCTACGCATGTTTATGCTTATCTTGTTTCCTTGTTTTTTCCATGTAGTTGATGTATTGAATTACGCTATGTTTAGTGCTGGTAACGGCAATTTCATGTTGCATTGGACCTATAGCAACAACAAGCTGCTCTTCAACATGACTTGTAAAGCAGTCGGTTGGTGTGCAGTGGGTTTTACAGAAAATCCTGGCGGTGGAGGTATGATAAACTACGATATCGCCGCCGGCGGAGTCTCTGCTAACACACCTTATCTTGAGGTAAGTTTGTATAATGTGACCGGTTGTACTTTTCGGTAGTGAAGTAAACTATAAGTTAATTATCGTTTTCCCGGTTGCTAGAGAAAGATTCCTTAGATGCAAAATGTAACCTA